GGCCGCCGGGCTGCCGCAGGGCGACCCGCGGGAGGAGCCTGAGCCTTGCCTGAGGGCTGGAGGGGGCGAGGGGGGGGCTGAGGGATCGTTGCCCGCCGCCCAGTTTGCTCGCACGGGGAAGAAGCCGAGGCTCCCCGCGGCCGTTGGGCGAGGGAGGGAGGCCCGGCGGAGCCGCTAGCCGCGGTGCCGGGCAGCCCTCGGGGCGGGGGGGAGCTGCCGGCTGCCGGCCCCGGGGCCGACATGGTGCTGCTGTCGGGGGACGGGGAGCAGCTGGCCGGGGAGAGGGTCTGCCCCGCGCCGGCGGCGGAGAAGGAGCTGCCGGGCGCTGAGGCGGAGAGCGGCCCCGAGGAGGGGGCGGCGGGGACGGCCGCCGAGGGGCCGGAGGAGGAGGAGGAGGAGGAGGAGGAGGACTGCGAGGAGTACGAGGACTTCTCCGAGCTGCCCGACACCTGCAGCATCGCCTCGGACGACTCCTTCTACCCGCCGAGGGGGCTGGAGGACGAGGAGGAGGAGGAGGAGGACCGCTGGTCCCTGGAGCGGGGGGAGCCCGACAGCCCCGAGGCGCTCAGCCTCTTCCGAGCCTGCTGCACCAACAACGCCGTCGTGCTCAGGGCGCTCATCCGCCAAGGCCCCGAGGAGGACGAGGTGCGGGAGACCGACCGCAACCGCCGGGTGAGCACACCGCGCCCTGCCGGCCCCCCCGGGTCCGGTCCGGTGTAAGGGAGGAGGGAGCGGATGAAATTCCCGTTTTCCCGCCGTCAGGTTCGAGCTGGGTCTCGCCCTCCCGCAGGATGCTGGGGAGAGGGAGCGGGCGGCATCGTTCGTCTGCTGGGCTCGGCCGTCCTCCTTGCTGGGCGGTCCATCCCCGGTCAAAGTTTGTGTTTCCCTTCTATGTTGGTGTTTTTTTTTTTGTTTAGCACCCCCCAGAAATGTAAGTTTGCTCCCTGTTCCTAGAACGCCACGCAGGGCTCCTGTGCTAAAACCAGACTTTTCAGGGTTCTGCTGGTATTCGGTTTGTTGCTGGTGAACTCTTTGGGGGGTTTTGTGTCAGTAGAAGGTTTGTGGCTCGGGTTTTGCCTGTTCCTTGGTTAATCGCAGGGACAGAAGTGTACTTCACTGAATCAGGTGACAACTTGGGAAAGATTTCCTGCCGAATGTGTAACTAACACCATGCAGCTTGGTGGTTCCTGCTCACGATCCTCCAGGGCTGGAGGCACTTTGTGCCCCTCTAGCCTGGGATGTTTTAGCAACAATATTGACGATTAGAAAGGGCAACTCCTCTCACTACTATTACTACAACTTACATTAAAACTAAGACACTTTTACTTGTAGTCTGCATGAACAATCTCCAAAATATGCTCTGTGACAGGAGCTTTTGGAAAGAAAGCCTGAGTTATTTTAATTGGGTTAATGACATGACATTCTGGCAACATAAGTGGTCTTTACATCGCAAATAATGCAATAATTTGGGTTTGGTGCTATTTGGAGAGGGGCTTTTCTTGTGTCTTGGACGTATGTACTTGTAGGATTTTTCCTATAACTGTCTTTACTTCCCCCCCTCAAAGGATTGTTTTTAATACAGGTTTTTAGTGATCTGATTCACTGTAAATTTCTGCAAAAGATACAAGTACAAAAAGTTGTATTAACACATCTGAGGGGGCAGCAACCTATGGCGTGGGGGTGGGAATGAGCACAATAGGCTAGAAATGTTTTAAATCAACTTTTCTGCCCAGGACAACTTACGATGTAGTTACCCTCTTGGTTGGTAACATGTGAGATCCGAATGTACATTACAGGAGATTTTTGAAGATCCTGCAGATACATTGATCCTATATATGAGGTCTAGGCCTGAGCTGGAGCCCAAACCCAGCCCTGACATTGCGTGGACACTCGCCCCTGCCGAGGTCCATCAATTCCCTGTGTCTCAAGCGTGCGAGGGTGAGGGAGGTTTGGCCCCACTGTACGTGTGGCATGAAAGACCAAGTCCCCCCATGGCTGTCCTTTCTGAAAGGGTAGCCTTCCCACCCAGCAGAAGGCACGCAGCTGGCTGTGAAGCTGCCAGCATCCTCCGTCTCAGGGCTGGGGTCCTGGGGAACTGAGTCAAGGGATACGAAGAAATTCAGCGCAGGCATCAGCCCTCATCCCCCAGCAGCTCCTTCTGCAGCAGTGATCAGATCAGGGTGATGAAAAGAGTGAATTTACCTGGTTGGACAGTCGTCCCTGCACCATCCCACTTGCCCAAAAGCAAGTTACTACTCTTTATCTCTCCAGCTTCCCAGAAAAGAAACAAAATTGTAGCTTGAATCCAAACTGAAAGTTCCTCTTATTTGTTCATACTGTTAAAAAAAAAAAAATTCTCTGCTTAAGCAAATATTCCATTTGACCTGAAATTAAACTTTGACATCAAATTCTGTTTTCTGCATTTTTTATGAAAACCAAGTAAAAGAAGTTCTGGGATTCAGCAACTTCTGGAAGCCTCATGAATGATGTGGGAGGCATGAGTTCAGTTTCTCTGTCTGCCTCCCTCAGAGAAGTGCCCTAACTACAGTGGTACGGAGCAGGATAATCTGTCATTTCCAGACAGATGTGAATGGGATGGAGAAACCTTTCTGCTGGGAAACTGAAACTTTAGGTGTGACTGCAGTCCCGACATCTCCACAGGGGACATCAAGGCATATTCACGTTATTTTGCAAAGGAAAACCACCTTTTTCAGAGAACTTCACCTGACAAAAGGGAAGTTTCGCTCAGGTCTTTTATCACCCTTTCTGTGGAATTTTTGTAGCTCTTGAATTTGCCTGTCATATAAAGTCATTGGACATTATCCATAAACAAAACTTAATTTCACTGCCAAAAAGTAACTGAACGAATTACGTATACCGCTTGTGCTAATGACATTTTTCAGTTGCTAAAACTTGTACTGTTGGCTTTCAGTATCTTCTTTCGCTGGGATAATGTTTTTTTGCAATGCTATCTTGCATGCATTTATTGGAAAGGTTTTTGGTTTTGTGGTTTTTTTTTTAACACTGTAAACAAATAAGCTGAACTTTTGTTTCCTCTAAGTTTTTGTTTCTTTTCTGTGAGGCAGGAGAGGGAAGGAAGGATAACTTGCTTTTTGAGGAGCGGGATGGTGAAGGGAGGGCTGTCCAACTGACTATATTAACTATTTTCACAATCCTGATCTGATAACCTCTGTTAAGTATGTACAGTACAGTTTCATTTTCACAATTTAAAAATTAGTTTTCTTTAAAATAGACGAATCATGTAACAGGTTATGGTAGTAAGACAATACCGTATTTTGATTCTTAAAGTAATTAAACTCAACTTGCAAAACATAACATGAAGAAGAAACTTCCTAACGGTTAAATTCTTTAAATGAATTTGGGCACAAACAGCTGGAGTTTTACCATTGCTTTGTTTTCAGATTTTTACCTTGTCCCTAAAGTATAAATGTATAAATTTGAGATTCAAAAGGAATTATTTCCAAAAATGCTAAGATCCATAGGTGACTTACTTATTTTCCTCCATTCTTTTTATCAAAATTCATCAGTTCTCTCTTTCAAGTCAACTTGCCAAGGCTGGGTAGTGGTTTTTTGTGGGGTTTCTGCAGAAGCGTATTTTTCCCATGGTCTGTTTGTGAGCTGTAGAACCTCCCTGCCAGGCACAGGTTTTCATTAAATTCACCTTCCTGCAGTAAAACAGACTCCACAACATCCGCTTTATTACCCACCACGTGTAGCCTGAAGACCGGTACCTTCCCTGTCTCGTTTTCATTCCTGTCGAGACAACAACAGTTTATATATCATTGTCTGCATAGGATCCCCAAAGGGTTGATCCCCGCATCTTCGGTTGCATTGCTGTCTGCATATGGAGTCCCAAAAGGCTGGCTTGGTACTGCTCATTTCCTCTCCTTGCCAAATCTAATACTGAAATATTTGGAAAACAACTATGACAGCATGTAATATACTAATTGTAGATCATGCAGGGCAGCGTCTCATTCATTAACGTTGATGGATTTACCTGCCTCACGCTGGCAATGAAGAGGGATTTGCAAATATATATGAGAAAATAAAATCGTGGCTCCGGTGGAATCTCCTGATCTGGCTGAGACCAGAGTGTGATCCAGAAAATGTCGCTGCTTTTCTCCACATGCTGGGGGGACTGTTTTTGCCTCCTTACTAGCCACATTTCCAGAGTATCAGATATTTGCATCTCACAAGGTTTAACACCTCTTCATATTAGATCTTGCCTGGAGACCAGTATCATATATACTCAGAAAGACAGAGTTTCAAAATCTGGTGTTACCTAACTGCATAATGAAAGCAAATTTAGAAATTTGCCATGACAATAGAGGAGGCAATAAGGGATGGGAGGGAGAGAGAAGACAGCAAAGCACATTCTCATGCCAGATTGAAAATAATCACTTCAGCTCATCCACAGAGAGGTTTTGTGTTAACCATCCACATGGTATAGTCTGTATTAGTAGGTATTCTGTAACTCTGTATTTTAGAGTTGATATATGTGTGAAAATACTCTATTGAGTCTTTTGCAGCTTTTCATTTTTTATGTCATTGTTCAATGATTCTTTCATCCGGTTCCATTGGTAGCTAGGAACCAATCTGCAGTTAAACAGTTTATTGTTGCAAGTATACCATTATATAGTGGAGATCGTACATTTGTGATCTTCGTTTTGCTGCTTTAAAAGGTGTGGAGACAAAATAACCTGTGTGGCTCAGCTTGTAAGCTCTTTCTTCTCCTTTCTGAAAATATTCCTAAGTCCATATATGAGCACAGTTAACTTTTCCCGTTAGTGCTTTATGCAGGATGCTGATGATCAGTACTGCTCTGGAGTAAGTTTTCCTTTGAGGCTGGTAGTTCTGCAGCTCTGTCACCAAGCGGGCCTGGATTTGTTTGGTTTTTTGTCCTCTCCTTCTTCTGCTGAAGGAAGAAAACAGAGTTTGGAAGGATATTATTGCTCTTCTTGATCTAAATTTCTTTTGAGTTCCCCTCTTGTGTTGCTTAGTACAAAAAACAAATGAAGAATTACCAGGGGAGGGAGAACGATGCATCAAAAGCCTGGAAGTTGCTGCTACTGAATAAACAAAAATAAAGTAGAGATGTCCTGGCTAGAAACCTCCTTGAAACGCTTGTGAGAACGTAGGGTTCTGTCAGCTGTGGAAGTAAGCCCAGAGAAGCAAGAGCAGGAGGGAAGTTTGCCGGGGGGGCAGTTCACACTGCAGGGTAGAGCATGAATTTGGAAGGTGGTTTCCCTGCTCTCCTTCTCTCCTCAGCAGGAGAGTTTTAGGGCTGGACTCCTAAAATTGTGATGGGCTGAGAAGGACAGGGAGCCAGTGGTTCAGTTCCCACTTCCCGGGTGAGGGAACGCTGTGCTGGATGATGCTTTTCTAGAAAGTCACATATCACAAAAAGCGCCAGAGCTTGTGTAACACTCCATTAACCTGTTTTTATTATTTTTGTTATCTTCACAATGCTAACTTGTAAAAATAAAGAAGGAGGAGCGCAGCATTTTGTGATGAGGGATAAAGATCTCCCTGTCACATATTGCTTTTCAGTTGTCATGGCACACAGCTTAAGTCATCCCAAGTCAGAAAAAGGATTTGAAGAATGTCATCTGCTACAGTGCTGGGAACTTTTTTCATATTTTCATAGGCAG